ACTAATACCTGCACTCCAGTTAACGCACTGTGCATGTATATGTATACGATTTAACTCTTAAACATTTTCAACCGATAGGTCCCAAAACTATGATACAACTATGAATAGAACATGATTAACTTACAATTAAACAACAGACTACGATAATATTTGTTTTCAAAGGAACGGTATTGAGAAAATCAGACATTCAATTGTTTTGTATATTTAGAGATGATGTTATATTGATGTTCTCAACAAAGACGCATGGGCAAATAATGTTGCATAATGTTGTATGACTGTCATTTGTCTATTTTTTAAACAAAACCGAATAAAGATACATAAAGCAAAACATATTTCATGTTATCTAGAGACGTTCAAGCATTGTTGGCAGGGTCTCTCCGTGTATCAGAGTATCTGATTAGAACTGATGGTCAGACAAAGTTATGTGATTTAATGTACGAGTTCAAAAAAAAGTTCATACACAAAAATGATGTGCATTAGCGCTATTCTTGCAAAAAGTGCTTTTATTTGTACTACGTTTAAAATTTATATTCGCAATGCCTTAGTGAATAAAAAAGCATTTGTCAGATGGAATTTCTGGTATACTGATAAATCTCTAATTGCCAATTCGGTAATAAGTCAAGCCGATTTGGGAAGAAATAATAGTTCAGGTATTCTATTTGTGTTCATTTTGGTAAAGAATGTGCATGACTTCAACGTTTTCCGTCGTTGTGGCGCTTGAAAAAGACAACTGCACATATTTATTTTAATGCGATTTTCTTTTTACAAAATTCTATTGATGAAATGAATATATTTAAAATTGTTTTTAGCATTTATTTTATTTTTCCAAAACATTTCCTCGTGATATATGAAATTTAATACTTGTGTATCCGAGGTAATGGATTCATTTGATTTCTAATGTAGGAATAATTAGCTACGGTAAATAGAAACTACAACGTTTTATTCTATATTTTTTCATACAGTCATTTTATTTGTTGTTTTGATTCAATTTTTATTATGTACATTTTCTTAATTTTACCAATTTATTTCTATCCTCTCCCAGTCAACAGTTCAAGAGTCAGATGTTTGAGTTGTGATCACACTTGCGGTGAGCGCCATTTGAAATTTTCCAACAAAAAGACTCATAGTATGAAAACATAATTATTGGGATATTAGTCATCGATATACAGCGGCAAATACTTTGAAAAGGTTTTAGAATCATTTTGACATCACCTCTTATGACGTTTTGACAATGTTCAGACCTTTTCGTATGCGCATAACTATGTTTACTAAGTGTATTTGACCATAATGTGTTTAATTGGTATGATTTGTGTTTCCTTGTAAAGAGGTGATATTTTGCATTAATAATATTGTTTGTTAAAAGAACTTTGAATAAATATTATTGAATTTAAATCTAAATTTCGTGTAATTCTGGATCAACCCTCGTAAAACATATCTGATTAAAAAATTAAATAAGTACTTCACAAAAGTCTATGTATGTCAATCCTAAAAAGAATCAGAATTCGTAATAAATGTTTGTAATAAATTGATAATATGGAACGTTACTTTGATCTATAATTCATTAACGTCAGAAAACTATAATTGTTTTGGCCGTTTCCATACATTAAATGTATATACGTAAATATATTGTTGGATTAAGCAAGTGTTTCCTGCCGCTTTAGATGAATTAGTCGGCAGTTAAATAAAAATAAAACAGTAGACGACGACCGAATCACCCACCATGTCATTTACTCATATTTTTTGATGATATGATGGATTTTGCAATAAATATATTCTTTCTTTTTTTAATAATGTAAACATTTTATCTAAATCAAAAAAGATATGTTTGCTTGTTTGCTAGCAATCTGGTATCATCTGAGTATATTTTCTACACAGATAGAAACAAACTTTGGGCGTAGGTTTGATATTTTAATAAATCCAAACAAAAATGGATTAAAAAGATAATGAAATTATGATACAGTACATCTTAAAACAAAATACAACCAAATAACAATATATACGCAATTGACGCGGAAAAGGATATACAATATATAACTTTGAAACACTCATGTATACAAACAATGACTTTATAGCAATTTGAATTGTTTCAACTTGGTAAAGAAGATAAATTGTCTCAACTTACTGAAAAAGAAAAAGGATATGCATTGATTTGTTCCGTGTTTGAAGAACAAGACTAACACGCGAGTATCTCGTATATCATGTTAGAAGAGTGAATAACATTACTGATGAATTATTATAGAATTAATAAATATCCTTCAATTATAAATTACTAGTAGTCTTCTAAAAAAGACATAAACATTTTTATTGTTGAAATAACTGTGTTGTTGATATTGTTTTTTCTAGCAGTAAAACAATTTGTATCATACACTCAAACAGTTCACATTTCTATCTTTTACACACTTATTGAATTATTTCGAATTTAATTTCGGGCATTTCAAGGAGTCTTGTGTTCCTTTATGTGTCGTTGATTCAAACTCTATCTCGTAATATTTTATTCAAAATGGGCCAACTGGAAACAGGTGACGTTCAGAAAATAAATTACCAATAGTATTTACGGTGGTGCATTTTAAATTGTAAAGTAAGATACATGCATTCTGCTGCGAATACAGTTACTTGTTCAGATTCATTTGACGAATGCTTCATGTCGAATAGTGTTTTCATGAAACACGTACCTTATCTTTGTTTTACATTTATGCAGACATTGTGCGCATGATACAAGTGTAAAACAGGTCAAAATTAACATAACTTTAGACTGGATTTTGTCATACTTGTTTTCGAATTTTTAGCTTAATTCATGTATCTTATCAATATCAAACCGTCGTGAAATTTTGAATGTATTATTAACGTTCATTAGATAAAATAAGTCGTTCAGTCTTTTTATGTTTTAGGCAGTTCTTATATTTTATCCAAAACATTTTTCATTATAAATTACTGGTCAATAATAGTCAATCCTTTTAAAAATATAGCCAATTCCGCCCAACTTGACAACAAAAAAGCATAATGTAACTTTTAATTGTCAAAATGTACCAACATGAATAAGAGGTTAATACACGGCATGAGAGGGCTGGAAGGTGATAATCGGCCCGCAAAGTGAATAATGGACCCGAAGGCTTTAGCCCGAGGGCCATTATTCATTCAGGGCCGATTATCACCTTCCGGCCCTACTCTGACGTGTATTAATGTCTTTAATACACTTGGTGGAAAAAAAAACAACAAAGTTCTTTCGTTGAAATTCTTGTCTACTCTTCTATTGTTCTGTGCAGAGATGTTTACTGTTTGTGTGTTCAAAGCAGTAGAATCTAGAAGCAAGTTTTATTTATTTTTTTTTTCGGAATAAATTTGTCGTATTATTTCTTCAAATTTCAATAGTAACAACAATGTGTTTCTACTGAATACGCTTAAGCTCTCATTATGAAAATAAAGCTATTCGTGCTGACAACCTACTTTCACTTTTACAGTTAACTGTTTGATGACGTAAAATATGACGTCATTGTTTCAGTTTGTGCACGTGCACATGTTCTGCGGGCTGATAACTAGTTCTCGGCCCCGGGCCGCAAACTCATAATAGGTCACGTGACACTCATAATCAGTTGAAATCATAGGCAATTTTGTTACTATATATAGTAACAAGTGTATTAAAACACTTTTAACATTTAAGTTGTCAACAGAACAAAAACACGATAGTAGACTAATTTAAATTCATTCAACTTTATATTAAAAGATGTACAACCCATTTTCACCATAAACAATGTCCATCACGGATGAAAAAGTTTTACAAACACAGAATAGTACAGATAAACAATGCATATCAAACTTTGCAAAATGTAAATAAAGAAACACATCAATTATCAATAATAGAACAAAAACACCATGTTTTGTAACCTTCAGACAAGAACTGAAACATGCTTGGGAATGTTTTTAATCTTCAACAGTTCAAGGAAAATAATCAGTCTCGACTTAATATATAGGTATATTATCCCTTAGAGTACCATAATTGGACAAGATTATAAGATTGATACTAGAATTCTGAGACAACTGAATGTTCTGGCATGTCACCTCCTATATAATAGATTCTTGAACTCACTTATCTAGAGCATTGTGAACCTCGGAATATTTGAAGATGAGTCTGTGCCCCCATGTCACGAATTAAATACGTTCGTACGTATTACGACATAGTCCAGATGTGACTGATTTAATCACGTAAGTTCGATATCTAATATAATACTAACATAGTCTCATCATTACGATGTTCATTTTGTGCGTGTTTCTTAACGTCAAGTTTGCTATACTCCAAATCTAATCATTTATATTTTTTTACGTTTTATTAGATAATGTTCATCGTGCGCATGTCTGCTTATATCTGTTTTATACCAAAAAGAAAAAAATACTCTATTATATGCTAAAGCGAACTTGCCCCTGATTTACAAATACTCTTAAAATAAAATAATTATATTATCGAAATATTTGTTCGTTTTCATCCGATATTACAACACATATCTTTCAAAACAACATATTAATTGTACAACTCTATGCTACATAGACAGATAACTAAATTAAAGAGGTTTAAACATGTTATTTCGTTTTAATGACGTTCTAAGCAAATTTTAGCAACACTATATAGCATTTGTCACGAAATGTGCACTTAACATCAATATTTAGTTTGAATCTGTGACGTATAGGATAGAATTTTGCAGTAAGAGGGCACATATCAAGTAAAGGCTTCTGTTATATTTACAAAATATACAATAATTGACATATAAAAGTCTCATTTGTTAAAACACTGTTCGTTGATTCAACGAACAGTGTTTTAACAAATGAGACTTTTATACGACGTTGAAGGATACAAAAATACCAATATTAGCACAATTGCACAAAAATTTACAATATAGAAGTATCAAGGCTTTATTCTTAAATATATGTTGGCAATATGCCAATATGTATATAGGTTTTATAAACATTACGTACATATATTAATGCAGTCAAATGGCCAAGAAGAACGATATAACAAACATGTGTACTTTAGTAACATTATTTGGTACAAATACAAATACGCGAAAGGAGTTATTTTCATTTTGACAATAAATATTTCAAATAGTTCATTTTATTGTATATGACATCCTTCAAACAAGGATGTGCAAAAGTGAAACAAACTAAAAAATAATTATGTATATGATTATGAATATAGATATTTGCAGCGTTAGGGCAAAATATGTTTTTAGTTTTTAAAAAAAAATAGTATTTCGTAAGTCATGTTATGTTAATTTCACAAATAAAGTGAAATTCATCTTCTATAATGAGTTTCTAACTTACAAAAAAAAAACAAGATCGAACTCTTGTTGAGTCGTGCAATTCTGAAAACTTTTTTAAACGAAAACATCATTTACCCTTTGCTTAACTTCACCGATATTGATAGCCATGCATCATTTAAACCAAACGATTGAATCAAATCTCTAACATGTCTACGTAACCTATTCTGTGTACAATAAATCATAAACTATTCTGACATACGTAACATTTTAAATTGTTCAAGTTTTTGTCAGTACTTTAAAAATATGACAAGAAATGCGACATTCAATGATTGCAGCTATAGCAATACTTAAAATATCTTTACATATCAATTTTATTCTCTTTTCTCTTCTTTCACAAAATTATTCTGAGTTTGCACTCGAACTCCCATCAGCTTTTTACAAAAGTGAAAATGTACCTTTTTCTCCAACAATTTACCCTTCTTACCATATTGAAAAAAAAATAAAAACATAAATTATCTATACCTTGATATATACAGTACAATTTTTTCGAGAATAAATGTGGTTGCAAACATAGCTATTACATAAAACCCTCTTTATACATCTATAAATATGTGATTTGTATTGTTCTTGGATTATCAGGTAATTCATATATCCATCTGCCAAATCGACCTCGATGAACTCTTTTCTCAAATATATATTAGATGTGTAGATTTTTATGAATGTTATATAAGATGCAAATAATACAAGATAAAATGTGGGTTACATTTCGCCATAAAGGTAATTCAATCAAGTTTAATTGACGTCGACCTAAGCGTAGCTCCTACCATGTTTTCAATGTAATTTAATCAAATTTAAGGGCAAAGCTCAATCAATTAAAAGCATAATAAAATGCATCACTTTCTTTTTTTCATTTGATGAGTCATTTAAATTGATTCATTGTTATTCATCAATTTAATCAAACGAAATTATAAAGTAACTCTATGCGCTATTATATGTACTCTTAAAACTGACTTAATATGAGTGGGACATTGGTTTCTTACCAATTTTTTTTGAATAAAAAATAACTATATCATTTATTTCAAAGGAACATTAAAACAATTTGAAACATATAAATGATTGATAAATATTGAATACTTTGCTAGAAAGTCGGGCACGCCTTTAACTTTCTTTTTCTACAAAGAGTAAGGGTTTAAAACTCAAACATTCACTTTGTACATGTATACCGACATTGTATGTAGCATTTTTCGTAAAAAGTGTGATATAATAAATCAACTTATACATAACCATGCCACAAACATGGTAAAATGACTCCTGATCATATAAAATTCTTAATAAAATCAACCCTAATTTGTATTATCTAATTATCTATCTTCATAACCGAATCAAAGCTACCAGAAACATATTAAATTAAGTATGATAGAGTTTCAATGAGCTTTTAGTATGAAATATATTTCCAAAAATTATGTATTTGGTACTCTTTGAAGTTTAAATTTTATATCGACACTTTGATCCTCTATATGAATTCTCACTTTAATTCCATCATCTGACGAAGATGATGATGAAGATCCATTTACTGTGTTGAGATATTTTGTTACCAAAACTTTGTTTGCATTGTTTCCATTACAAGGGTATTCAACACGAACTCTTTTTGGATAGTTGCGCGCACCTGCCTCGTCTAATTGGCCAAGAACAATTTTATTTGTCAATGTCAACCGGTTACTTCGTTGGCTGGTTAAAGAACGCGTACTCCGAAATGTTTCTAAAGTGGATGGTCTTTTGTACAGAGACTTGAAAGCAAAACAGTTTCTTAGACTAGCTGTCCTGCAAAAAATCCGAAGGGCATTTCTAAACTTTGAAGACACGAAATTGTACACAACTGGATTCAGTGCATGGTTTGTATAAAACATGAGTCTTGTAGAATATAAAATTAATAGAAACTTTTCGAGACCAAGATTCCAAATGACATTTTTATCTTCAAAAGAGAACCACAAAACTGCCACGCGAAAAGGTAAATGACAGATGAAAAAAATCAATATAAGAGATGCTATTGTATTCAGTATTTTATGTTGTTTATGTTTTCTTTCTCGTCTATTTTCATGGATGAAAGCGTCAAACTTTCTAGTTGATTTAAGGACACAACACAAATGGCAGTTTAGGAACAGCATCACCGAGCAAGGAAGTAAAAAGAAGAGTATAGCAAGACCAACGACGTACATCTTATGCCAGCTTTTGACGATTGGATTTCGACATACCTGAAATTCAGCATATATTATTTAGCAATGCTTGTATATTATCAAAATCTACAAAAACAAACTCCGTAAGCTTATTTTTGCTGTATCCATGTTTCGAAATAGTTATGGTATTATATGTTATTTCTATACTTGCTCTACTATAACAGTTAAAGATAATGACGTACAATATCGCTTAAAATTCTGACTTTACGTAAGAAAAAGACTCACCTGTATTGGTGTTCCGTCATAAAATACTGACGGTCTTAAAACAGCAATAAATAACCATGGTACACTTGACACTATAGATATAGCCCAGACAATTAAAATTCTCCTCCACACTTTAACAGAATTCTCACCAACGCCCTAAGGAGAAAAAAGCAGTGCATTCATAATCAGTTAAAACAGTTCAACCATCCATTATAAATTGTATAAAAGATAATTACGTTTTATTTTTCAATATCTTTTTTTCTCATGCATTACAATTGGTGAATGTGGAATCAAGAGGCCATCATAGCCCTAGATCGCTCATCTGTCTATAAAAAAAATATGGATTATTGGGACCAATTGTGACTATAGTGTCGTGATTATAGTGTCGTAACAATTTTAAGTTTTCTGCTATACAATGTTACACAGAAATGTCTAATTTCTCGTCCTGCATTTTTAGAGCGAATCTATTTAAATTAAAGTGACTCTCGGCGAGGGCCCAATTTTGACCTACTGGTCATGATTTGAGTAAGCTTGGTACAGGTCCTCCAGACAATCTTTCACAACAAGTAACTTAGCTCAAATTACATAAGTTTGGAAGGAGAAATTATGTAAATGTTTTCCTTTATGATACTATGTAAACTTAAAGGCGACAAGTGAGCTAAACAACGAAATCATCAATGTTTAAAATAAAGCAAAACAAAATTTTACCTTTTGTTTCAAAGTTAACACTAAAACGTCAAACGATTAAGTTAAAACAATGATAAAAGTTTCTTAGATTTGATTGAGGATAGATTACTTAACTAAATATTGTCATACACTTTACCTTTAGAGGATAGCAGACAACTCGGTATCTTTCTAAACTGATTGCCAAAATAGTTAACACTGAGGCATTGGCGATAGTATTCTCCAGAAATGGCACTGTTTTACCTGTATAAAATACAACAATAAATATATCGACACTGTACATTTACACGTACAATTCGTAAGTTAAAAAATAAGTCAGTTAATATATACCGAACCTGGTTTTAATAAATAAATGAGCCGCGTCTCGACAAAACATAATGGGTATGCGACTAGCATGGATCCAGACCAGCCTGCGCATCCGCGCAGTCTGATCAGGATCCATGCTGTTCGCTTACAAACCCTATAACAAGTGGAGAAACTGATTGCGAACAGCATGGATCCTGATCAGACTGCATGGATGCGCAGGCTGGCCTGGATCCATGCTGGTTGCAAACCCATTATGTTGGTTTTGTCGTGACGAGGCTCAAATATGGTAATCTACAAAGAACTGCCCTCTAAAATTATCTCAAACTGTTTCTAATAGTCAGAATTCCGTAAGAGAAATGACAAAAGTTTTATTGTTTAATTTGATCCGTTCAAATGTTATTATAATAACTGCAGCATGTAAACGTATCAAATTGAAGGCATTGTTAATGACAAGGCAATCCCCAGCGCCGACCTACCAGAAATTGAAGACATAAAATATATCATCACTGAATTTGATTAAAAATATTAAAATAGCAATTTAATCACGCCAGAGGCGTATGCCTGTTTACAGCATTTTTTAAGGAATTAACAATTATAGTCATAAGTAGATGAATATTATTCATAAAATCATTGTGAAGATATTTAGTAGTTTTTATATTTCTATTTAATTTCATAATTGAATATTTCAGCCTTAATTGATAAGCGACTACTTAATTAAATCCCAGTACGACATTATAGAATTAGATGTAAAAAAATCAAATAAAACATGTTAATGAGTTATATATAACGAAAATAAACGAGGTTTAGAGAAAATTAATGATACAGTTTTCTGTATTTGGAATACAAAAAGAAATAAATGGAGCGATAACGGAACAGAAAGAGTGATTTAGTTTTCTAAAATATTCAGTGTTTAAAAGCATAGCTGGCATCGATACCACATTGTTGTTTAAGCAGTTTATATGTGTATATGGTAAAGTGTTATGAAATACGTTGGTACATTTGCAAAAAAAAGTAAAGAGAACTTCTTGTCTCTGCTTCAATCTGGTATTCCTGGTACCATGTAGAAATGATTTTAAAACTATGTGCCTTAAAAATAAACTTAGATTTTATGAAATAAGTAAATAATAACAATTCAATAACTATTTTACATGTAATGAATGACTGATTGTGCAGTATTTATCACCATATCTATATTGTGTGATTAACGCATTAAAGGCTTTTTGCATAATTTGCACATTTATTTGGTTATTAACGTTACTTAAAAGTGTCGTTTGCAATTCTTTGTTCAATTAAAAACATTTTTTAAAACATTTTAAAGTTTTAATGAGAATTAACATGAATCTTGAAACATTTGCTTTAAATATGAGCCGCGTCATGACAAAACCAACATAATGGGTTTGCAAAAACATGGATCCAGACCAGCCTGCGCATCCGCGCAGTCTGATCAGGATCCATGCTTTTCGCTATCAGTTTCTCTACTTGTAAAAGGGTGTGTAAGCGAACAGCATGGATCCTGATCAGACTGCGCGGATGCGCAGGCTGGTCTGGATTCATGCTAGTCGCAAACCCATTATGTTGGTTTTGTCACGGCGCGGTCCATATAAATAAAAGAGAGGGTACAGAGTGAAATACACTAAAACATAATGATGTTATTCTATAGCAATTGTTACCTTTTATTAAACACATTACAATTTTATAGCTAAATTCTTAAGTATGTTTATGTTTATATGCATTCAATTTTAAAAAAGACTAAAAGACACATTTAGATCAAGTATGTTGATTTAACCATTTACTTACACATAAATTCTCCAAAGTACCAAACTTCTTTTGTAAAAATATCCGCAAGAGCTGTTGGCATACAATCATAAGTATGACCATTCACGTCAGCAATACACAAAAATTTTCAGCAATCTATTTTATTAAACCTGTTGTTTTCATTTTTAACGACTTTGAAATTTAATTGACAGGCTTATCCCAAGAATAATTACCGACAACGCCAACCAAAACATATCATAAACCAAATACAGAATGCGTCCCTAGCAGTAAAAACAATAATAACTTGGAGTTTCGTATAGTGTCATCATAATTCATGATGATTGAGTTCAATTGCGTCAATGACAAATTACTCAACACATCAGAGTTTTCTGATTTATTTTCAATAAGTAAAAATTCCATTGTTATCAATCAGATTGTAACAAGTTTTTAGTTCTTTCTTTTTAAATGTGTGCAATCCTGTACAAAAATTATTTCTTCGATACATATTTGAACAGCTTTACACTCACACTGCGAACTGAACAATAACTACAGAGCTTCAATAGTGAGGAATCTCCAACTATCAAAGAATATTTTTCCGATTTTTAAATTCAAATCAGATTACCCAATATGGAATCTGGATCTTGAATGAAACATTTCATTTAAGCAATTTTATCTTTGCAATGAATAGACAAATACATTCAATATAAGTTTTTAATAATTATTTATAAAATTGATATGCTTGACTTTGTTGGTATAGATCTTTGTTGTTCTTAAAGTAATGACCACCCTTAAAAAAATTCCGTTTGGCAAACGTGGTAAAGAATTAAAATTGTCCCTTTTATATGGTCCAAAAAGCTGCAATATCATTGGTTAAACAGTAGCCAACAGAACAAAAAACACTGGGTTGTAGTAATCATATTTACTGGCTGAAATAGGGTTTAAATAAAATCAGGCTCATTAATTTTCAGGTGGACCATACAGCCCAAAGACAAAATTAACTGCTCGTGCATTTGTGTCTGATTCTATTTAAAAATAGGGGGAAAATTCAGGCCAATGATGAATACGATACATACAAACCTAAGTCATTTTTTTTCCTACCTTGAAATACTGGTATAATAAACCCATACGATATGTTTGCCTGCCCTTTTTTAAATTTGTCCTTTTGGCGTCTTTGGTCCTGTGATATGCCAGGCTTCATAACCTCAGATCCCCTTTTCAAAATTTTATTTTATTTAGTTCCGCCCATTTCTTTTTCTCGTTTTAGGGCACACGAACGCGTTCTTTTACTTTTGGGACCATACGGGCCGCTTTTTCATGTAATTATATACTACACTGTGTCACATTGAAGGTTCCATGATAACCGCCGTATGAACACATCTGCGGACATGTTTCTACGTTTCAAAAATTCACCGTTTTTTGTGTTTTAAATGTTGAATTCTGCTTAAGCCGGTGCTAGGGGGCGTGGACGGTAACCTGCACTTTCCAATACCGCCATGAACAGGCTAAATCAAACCGAGCCTGCAACATTTACAATTTTGCCGTATTGGCTTTCTTTAGGAATTCTGTTTTTCACTATTTTATTTTATTGATAATTATGTTTAACTCTAAATCTTTAATAAAGCAGTATTTATATTGTTGTTTCAAATCATGGAATATGCTATATGATTTCTTTTAGGTTAAAAACAAGAATAAAGATCAACAAGGTAAAGGTAATGATCACAGGACGCAGCCTTCGACACACCCAAATAGGGCACACAGAAGACACCCAACAAAAACCTTGCTGCGAATGGTGAGTGACATGTTATGTGTGAAATTATATAAACTAAAACGGGTCCTTATGGAAAATCTTTTTAGACGACATCGATATTCTAATTCTACGCTTCTACGATCTTAAAAGACGGAAATCAGTAACTAATTGACTACCCAGGAGACTGCAGTGTAAAAATGAAAGAAATGAGAATTGTCGAAGAATAATAATGAAAAGAAAATTATTTTTCTGCGAAGATTAGAAAAAAATCTAAAACATGTAACACACGAAATTAAAACATCATTTTTATATGTATTTGTCAATTTTCCACTTTAATGGATATAATATTTTTTTCGTCAGCATTTTCTTTAATGTTATTATTTTTAATTATATTTCTTGCTTATTTTTGTTGGTTATTAATTTTGTAGCACTGATATTAATTAGACTTGATATATGAATTATGGTAAGGATCGTATTATAATTGTTGGTTCCATTTCCTATAATTAAATTCCTTGTATATTATCGAGACAATTATATTCTAACCCATTTGTACGCAAGCTTGTTAATTCTAAATATTTTGAATTTATTCTGAAGAATTGTGTTTGATTTAATACTGAAGATACTTTTTGCTTGATATCAGAAACAATAATTATGTTTCTATTTCGCTTGTGAGATCGTATCTTCAGAAATCCTGTGTACACATAACAGAAAGGTTTAGCTTGATAGTACCCTCTGGAAAACATCGTAATGTTCTTCTTCTGAGACAGAACAATCATCTGGACCTAGATTTCCAAGCTGAAGGCCATTTGATTCCACACAAGAAGATTTAAAACTGTGTTTTCTAGCTTTAACATAAGTGCCTTAACAAAATACGTAATCAAAGTTTATATCCAGTAATGCGTGTTATCTAGTTGTGTTGCGCCAATGGCTTAACCGATTTCAACGTGCCTCAAGATGTTTCCTGTAGTTAACTCTGTGGTCATTGTTTTTACGTTTCTATTTAATGTAAGTTTGTACTTTTTGCACCAACTTTTAGGCATGCTTAACAAGGTACGAATATTTTCATTAATATTTATGCCCTCAAAAAATCGCTGAGATTTTTCTCCCCTCAACAAACAAATGGTTACCCGTCAGTTTGCAAAATAACGTTGATTTAAGTTAATATCGCGTATAAGTAATACGGACAAAAATAAAACACAAAAAAATAATGTTTTTCATCAAAATAAAGTAATAACATTTCTTATTTTATTTCTATCTAACTGTAGAAGTAGCAAGAAAGGACCATAGTTTTAAATAATAACAAACAAAAAGGGCATTCATAAGCAGGTATGTCTCAATTTTGATGAAAAAGGGTGTTTTAAGAAAAAAGGTTAGATTTGACAGATATCATTGGTGAATCGCTCTATATCTTATAATAATTATAAATGAATCATTGCGATTTACCATCCGGATTTAGAAACATAATCATTTTACATTGTAAAACTACTTATTTTCTTTCGCTCATTCTACTATAAAAAAGTTTATTAAAACTGCAAGTATCTCGCAATCATTAAACAAAGATAACAGAAACCCATACTCTGACAAAAAACAAAACAAACAAAAACAAGCCCCAAATAGGGTTTGAAACCACGCCCTATGAAAACTAAACATAAATGCCCTTCATACTCATAATATCCTTACACTTGTTTTTCCGTAACTTAATGAACTTGCGTTCATTGAACCCCGCCCTTCCTTGATGATCTTGTTTAGATCAGATTTCTCCATTATAATTGTAATCAATTACTATAATATAAAGTAATTCTCATAGATAAACCCAAAAGCTTTAATTTGGTATTACATTTCTATTGATGGAAATATGTAAATTGTTATTCGTATACATTTTCCTAAATTGTCTTTTTTCTAATTTGAAAATTATTTGCAAAATAATACAGAATATGAGTCACTTATATTTTGTAACATCTATAATATAACATTTACCATAGGGCTTAGGAAAACACCAAAATGGCCTACATAGACAATAGTACATTATATAAAGTACATCAAACATTACGAATGCCATTTTAATGTTTGATACATCTGCCTCACTGTAAAAGAACAAAGAAGTATGTGAAAATAGTATAATATGTTTATCTTGATAAGAACATTCACTGATAAAGTCATTCACAGATTATTTTCTCACTTCATCACGTTTTAATCAATAAGTTAGACTTATTTTATTAGTAGTCACCAAACTAATTTAGGAAAACAGTTGAGAGTAAAGAATGACAATCATTTCATCTAGAACTAATTAATACCATAGTCGGGTTGTACAATTCTATTGTAATTCTTTGATCTTCTTTTTCAATTATATATGACCTTACATCTTCCCAGCAATGCTTTTATAAAAATTGCCCCTAAAGGAATGCTTACGCTTTAATTTGATGATTGCAACTGCACCAGCATTGTTTACGTGAACTTCTTTTACTTTTTGTCTGCACTTTGCAAGTAATAAAAGGCTCAGGACAACAAAAAGCAATTTCTCTGTTCGAAATATACAAATTCTGTTTATTAGAACCAATTTACTTGAAATGACAGCATTTTATTTTTAATTTTCCGAGCTATGAACATGATATATTGGTTTTAGATTGGACGCACAAAAGTACAAACGCTAACATTATAGGTGTTAAATGAATCAGGTTGGTCTCTGAAGTGATAAGCTACCTTCGTTTACATACAACCCATGATGCGTTCTTCAAAATATCTAAGACGTCTTTGTTCTTATATACAAGTAATTTGATATGAAAAAACATGAAGAAACAACCGTGGTCTGCACAGTGTATACACGAAGGAAATACATGTACAATAACTAAACTTAATAATTATACATTTGGAGACAACTCTAGTGGAGATTTATATGTTTTATTTCAAACTGGGTTAAAGTCGTCCAAACATATCCCGTGTTGTAATACAATGAACATATAGTTCATAAATCACAAAAAAACCGAACTTACTCAAATATCAATACATTATTGTATAATTTTCAATGTATATAAAATGTAGAAGCGAATCTGTCGAATTGGTTCATTCGAAATACGGGACATTGTATGCTGCAAATACATGTATATGAAGAGATAGGGTTTTGTTCGCATATGGGTACAAAGGTCAACATTATACTTAAATCTATACGGTCATATAGTGTAATGATGATTTGTAATAGACTATATTTAAATGTAAAGAACAAGTAATGAATCCAAAAAGACATTAAGAATCTACCGCTTGCTTTAAATCAATGTTTGACTACATCTTTCAGAAAACACACACTATATAAACGCCTTTCATATTTCATTTTATTTACCATCTTCTTCCAAAAACTTAAG